CCTACAGTGGAACATGTTTCTGTGTTTCAGAATTCTGAGTCTAGGGCAGGCAAGTGTGGCGGCATTCATATATAAAGGAAGGCTAGGGAGAAATCTACTTTATGTCATGCAAATCCCCTGAAATGTGGTTAAGAATTTCAAACCAAATAGTTCAAATACTTTCAAAAGCAACTGGGCTTTTGCTAACTGTTTGTTATTTTAAGTGGCTTGTTTCTAAACCAGAGGAAGTGCTGATTGCAAGGTAGTTGGTAGGCCAAACCTGTGCCCAGAAGTCTAGAATTCAGAACCCATACCAACTAAGGGTCTAGCCCTAGGGCTTCTGTTTGATAAGCCCAAATCTTCTCAGTACTCAGTGTGGTTTTTCAGCTGTTCTATCTGACTAGAGTCTGGGCAGTTGAGCTAAGAGCATGCTTCTCATTAGTGGGAAATATGACCTATCAAAATTGAGATCTGTTTATCTCTGGCAATCTTATTTCGCCCTCCAGAAGGGCTGACCAATCCATCTTTTGGGCAGGTTGTGTGTGTGGGGGGGAGGGTCACGGAACCTTCTTTGTGAAGCAGGCTACAATTTCATTTGACTTTTCATTATGCTTCTTGAGAACAGTAGGCAATTAACTTTCCATCACTGGCCAGCAGGATTTCTTTGTTCATTGCTTTGTCTGTCTTCCCTCACAACCTCCCAGATATCAGGCATATGAAAATCAAATGGATCACTGCTCTTGCTCTGCTTAGAAAATTGAGCTGACTAGAACAGTTAATGCCTATAAGCCTTGGAGGGGGAAGGGCCACAGTGATTGTTCTGGAGCTCTTTCAGCATCTATTTAACCCAGTTCTTACACTCTCCCCTGGTTAATTGAAAGGTGGTCAAACAACAGAAGCTAAATGGCAAAAAGCAGCCCTCTTCATGTGTTACGGGCCATCACAACTTGCCAGGCTGCCTTTTAGGTTTTGAATAGATCCTTTTAATCTATGCATTCTTGGTGTTTGGAACAGTCAGACTTCCTTTAAACAAAACCAAAGCAACCACAAACCATCTGAATTGAATGGTGGGAGGCAAGATGCACTTACTTTCTATCCTCATTGAGCCTTCAAAGGATGCTGTTCCTTCAACTAATTACTTCCTGTAATGAATATTCTATGCAAATGAAACGAGAGTTCTTAGAATGCAGCATGAGCTGGGCACAGATCCGGGCTATCAGTGTTGACAGACACTTGAAGGTTCTCAAGGCGTACTGGATGAGTGAGAGTTACCTTGGAATAGATCTGAGTGAACAAATGGCTGCCTTGTTTGTTGGCTGAACTTGGTTCATCCAAAGCAACCCAGTCCTGACCTTTTCTATCTAATGGGAAGGGGGTCATTTATATGTTTATTGAAACTCATCACCCTGATCTCCGTGTAGACAATCAAGCTGAAAAAGGCATGAAGTTTCACGACAGAGTCACATTCATATTTTGCACCACAAAAGCCATCCAGTCAACCCCATGCCGAAGTAAGTGCACACCTGCAAACCTCCCACAGGGGAGAGTTAAACTGTGGTTGAAGAGGCATCAGAGTCTTTCTGTATCTCCACACAGACCGTCAAGGCCTCCCTAGGAAAGTGAATAATCAGCAATGGCACCCTATGCCCCAGGCTTGGCAGTCTCCAGTCTGTTCTCAAGCTGAGCTCCCGAGATGGAATAGGCAGGTCGTTGATGGACAAGGTGGCACATGTGCCTCGCATCTGAGAATTTCTTCTTAGTGCACACCACTGGGGGAAAAGAAGGAGAAGCTCGGTAGTCAGTTGTGGCAAGACTGTTAAGTATGAAAATGTCAATGTCTGAAGATAATCCAAGTGCCTGATGATCTTAGCTCTAGGTGAAGTGGCCTTTCTCCTGCATCCAGAGTGGGAGTCATGGAAAAGAAACAGAGGCTCTTTTGTTATTCCCACGGTTTATTTTTAAACCCCTTTCTCTTCCTCTTCTCTACTCAAGTTTGGTAAGTAAACCCTGCCAATTGGACCCAGGGCTTAGGTACTGGGATTCTCAGTGGTTTCATAGTCTTTTGAAAATTGTGCAATGATTCTCCGGGCCAGTGGGTTAGTGGTCTTCAGCAATTCGGCTGCCGAGGGACGGGACCTCAGAGTTGCCTTACTTCCCTTCTTCTGTAGCAAGGCCTTGAAGTCATCGTTTCGGCCTGCATCTAGGTTGGCATTGTTGCTTGAGCCTGAGGAGGCAGCAGGCTCGCTGATTGGAGAATCGGCTGTGTTTTTTATCGGCGAGTGGGAGCTTGGTCTGTTGCCGGCAAAGGCCTCACCAGGCTCCTTCCAGCCCAGCAACTTTCTTTTGGACCTAAATAAGAGAAAGTTTGGTTCGAGTGATTTTTTTTTTTAATGTTTTTGCCATAGGGTGCATGCACTTGACTGAGACACAGAGAGAGACAGTGAGAGGCAAAGTGGGAAATCAGAAATCACTCCCCAGGGGGAATGGCCACACAGCAATCCCTTCTCCTCCGTTATCCTCCTGGGATTTGGGGCACACACGCACACACGCCTGGCGTGATTTCCATGCTATTGGGTCCAGGACTCGAACTGCAGTCAGTCACATGGGGGTCCAGACCTTAACCACCATGCAACCCGCAGGCCCTAGGTTTGAGTGAATATAGGAGGCATTTACCAAGGCTTCCCAGAACTCCCTGTGAGTGACATGATCTGAGGACATCCAGATAGCAGCCCTGCAAGCAGTCATATTGTCCCACTCTCTATCTCACCTCTAAGTCCTCGGAGTCCGTTGTCAAGCCCCACAATACTTTCCAAGCTGGAGTCACTTGACATATGCCTGCAGGCTCAGTCTTTCCCAGGTTCTGGGACCAAGTACAAATTTAAGGAGTTGAAGCTAGTAGTAGCTCAGTTACTCTGAATCAGGACAGTCTGGGGGTTGATGTTTTTCTGAACTGGTGCTCCAGCTCCAATAAAACTGGGCTCTTTCCAATTTCCTTGTCACTGTGCCTTGTGCTGTGTGCCTGTCCAATAACTGGGTCCCCCTTTGCCTAAGCTATTGCTTTGATATGTCACCTGGTGCCCCACTTCACCTCTTGATAAGACTATTTTTGGTGCAAGGAATTCCATGAAGGGTTAAATGTCTCTGACTGTAGATGGAATTGAGAGAGAGCAGATGGAGCCACAATAGGCCAAGTGGTTGCTAGGAGACGAGGGGCCTCTCACTAGGCACCTGGGCCAACCTTCTCTTCCCCTCCTCCATTTCACTCAAAGATGTCAGGGAACTTGAGATGGGAGACCCTGGGCTGTACTCACATATGTAGGCATCTGAACTCAGTCTGCAGCTGAAATTCTAATGGGTGCTCACAGCTAGCAGTTTTTCTTTAAGTATAAAAAGGGAAGACCGCATTTAGAATGAAGGAAATTGATTCAAACCTGTGTATCACAGTAAATAAATCTTCAGTTGTGCGTGAAGCCACAAACACGTCATCATCCTCCTCTGCAATCCATTCAGCTGTTTTATCACTGATTAAACTTTTCTCCTCGGCGCTTGGCTCCGCAGAACTCCCTAGGCATAGAACCAGAAGGAATGACTTTGACCACAATAGATAAGATGGTGCATTCTCCTATGTTATTTCTTTTGATGTTGAAAGCAACTCGGGAAGGGCAGCAGGGCAGAGATTTTTAATGTCTCTATTTTGCAGAGGAAGAACATGAAGTTCCAAAGTTTAATGATTTACTCAAGGCTGAGTGAGTGGTGAAGACTGACCTGGTCCCTGTTTTCTGATGTCTTTTTTTGTTTTTTTCTTTTGAGAGATTATTGCTATAGGGCACATGCATTGGACAGAGAGACATAAAGCAAGAAATCATTCCCCAAGGCGGGGATGGCCATGCCAGAATCCCTTCTCCTCTATTCTCCTCTCAGGATTTTGGGCATGCACACACACGTGTCCAGCATGAGTTTCAAGCTGCTGGGTCCAGGACTCAAATCGTGGTTGGCCACGTGGGAGGCTAGAGCCACCACCTGCTGTCCCCTCATGTCTTTTACTTTTTTTTAATGTCTCTATTTTGCAGAGGAAGAACATGATCTTAAATCTTTTTTAAATGCCAGAAGGCACTTTCATGTACCAGAGAGAGGACTGAGTGTGAGAAAGAGAGAGAGAGAAGTGGGGCAAGCACACTCTCCCACAGGACCTGGTCTTGTCACGATCCTTTTGCCTCCAGTTTCCCAACCTGTCAGGATGCTGGGTATGTGTTTTTGGCATGTTTTTCCAGTTGCTGGGGTGGGGACTTAAACCGAGCTTGGCCGTGTAAGATCTGGGTTCTTCTGTGCAGAGCTTAACCTTTGTGCTCCAGGGCTGGCCCTCTCATACCTTTTTTATTACAACAGGTGGCGTGAACATTCTCTTGTTTTAAATAAATCGTGTTTAGAAATCAAGGAGCCGAGGTGATCAGCAGGTGGTGTGGTGGTGAAGGTGCTAGACACTCCCACTTGGCCAACCATGGTTCAAGTCCTTGGCCTGGTGACTTGCTTTCTCACTTTCTCTCTCTCTATCACTTTGGTCAAATTATAAAAAAAAAGAATGAATACATAAAAGAAAAGAACTTAAAAAAAATCAAGGAGCTGAGAGTGATCTAGAGCAATAAAGTGGGAGAGAGTTGTTTCAGAAGCCTCTGAGGCACTTGAACCCTGTCTGGGAAAGTCAATTCAGTGTAAAAAGCACTGTATGCAGTGTAAAAAGTGTGAAAAATACTGTAGCTAGTGGAAAGCACAATGGAGGAGGAGGTAGTCCATAGGGTAGTGGGTGAAAGTGAAGCCATTTGAATCTCTTGGGGAGCCTGTGAAGTCTGAGAAAACATTTTCTGAAATGAAATATGAATTTAATCTGTTTGATTGTTTTAGTTACAACAATTTAACTTATATTGAAAATCTAAATCAGCTTAAAGAAGTCATGAGATATTTCGTGTTAAAGGGCAAAAAAAAAAAAAGAAATGAGAGGGGCCAGAAAGTGGTGCACCCACAAAATGTGATGCTGTGTGAGGCTGACCCACATGGGCAGGTTCTGGGTTCACATCTGGAGACCTCCCTGAGTATGCCTCACATGTATATGCCCATGACTGGGGTTGGCCGAAGCTGGGGGTGGATCATGGTGTGAAGACCCTGTTGGAGGTGCTGTCTCTCTTTGTCTTTTGCTCATGGAGAAATAAATAAGCTTTAAAAAACAAACAAATGGGTCAGTCAGTAGAATGGTGGTTAAGGCAGCTGAATCCCACATGGCTAACTGTACAGTCCAATTCCCAGACCTGGAATTTTGAAATTCAACATGCTGGGTGCACGTGCATGTGTGCCTGCTCCAAAATACCTGAGAGGAGAAGGGATTGCCAAGTGGCCATCTCCCCAGGGGTGCTTTCTCACTTCCCCTCTCTGTATCTCTCTGGTGAGCACATGTGCCTATATCTAATTAACAAAGAAAACAAAAAGGATGAGAAACATGGATGAACTTTGAGGACATTAACCTAAGTAAAACGAGCCATCACAAAAAGACACATATTGTACCACTCATATGAGGTACTTGGAGTTGTCAAATTCAGAGACAGACAAAAGAGCGGTAGTTGCTAGGGGCAGGGGTGGGGTGGGGAAGGGGAGTTGTTTGATGAGCACAGAGTCTCAGTTTTGCAAAATGAAAGGAATTGTAGAGATTAGTTGCTCAACAATTTTTTAAAAAAGATTTTATTTAACTTTATTTATTTAAATTTTTACCAGAGAAGGAGAGAGGGGTGGAGAGAGAGAGAGAGAAAGAGAGAGAGAGATATTGAGGGAAAGTGAGAAAGCAAGCTGCCAAGTCTGGGACTCAAATCATTGTGGGCCATGTGGGACAGCGCCCTTCACCACCACGCCACCTGCTGGCCCCAGTTACTCAACAATGTTAATGTACTGAACACTAATGAACTGCACACTTAAAAATGGTTAAGATGGCAAACGTTGTTACATGTGCTTTACCACAGTGAAAAGAAAAAGAGACAGATTGAAAAGGATGAAAAGCATGAAGTAGCCTAGTCTTCCGGTTCCAGAAGAGCTAGCCTCAGACCGTCCAAGAAAATGAGCTTCTTTTCCTCTGAATGCCCCAAAGAAAGGCTGCTGCTGGTAACATATCTCATTGTTTCAGAAGCCTCCAAGGGACTTGGAACCCTGTCCGGGAGGGTATTGAGTCCCATGCATTAAACTCAATTCAATGTGACTAGTGAAGAGTATTGTACAATGGAGGTGGGGAGAGTAGTCCCTAGAGCCGGAGTGCATGCCTGGCTAGCTAGCTAGAATCCTAGCAGTCCCAGGGTGCTGGGACCTAGTGAGATTTCAGTCTCCCAGCACTAGGGGATCAAGGATAGACTGGCCCAAACTGGCCCTTGGACATCTGTCCAGGGTCAGTCCTGATCCTAAGGGCAGTAAGGTCGACCCATGGCTCCTATTTAGAGTAACAAAAACCTTCTAGAGGTGCCCCCTACTGACTTAGTCATCCTAGGATCAGGACAATTATTCTGGGGCATCTGCTTCTGTTCCTGGCACTCCATTCTTACTCTTCTCTCCTATGACTGAAAGAAAAAGACAATAGACAATTTACTAACCCAGGGGACTCGCCTCCCTTTCACCGTCAGCCTGTGGAGTTGAAGTTGTCCTTTTGCCAGGTAACTGTAGATCATCACCAGTAGGGGGACACTTGGCATCTTCCTTCAGGGTGATGATGGGGCTGAGAGGCAGCCTTGGCTCTGCCGCATAGGCTTCCACTTGTGCTGTGGGTGAGGTGAGAGGCAGGTACAGCACGTTGGGCTTTTTTGGCACAGGAGGTGGAATCTTGCCTTTCTTTTTCTCAGCTTCTTCCTGACTCTGGAGGCTAATTCTTTCCGGCAAGACTGTCACCTTTGGGCCCTCATCCTCCATGCTTCCTTGGGGTGGTTGCTGCGTTCCTGAGAAGAAAGCACCAGAGGAACTGGCAAAAGGCGTGAAAACAAGAGATGAGGGTGCTGTTGGCTCCCCAGGACTTCTGCCATCAGGGCAGCTGGAGGGCTTTGGTTTCCGCACCACTGTGTAACTGTCTTGAGGAAGCGGCCTCACATGTTGAACTGAGCTCTTAGGGGTCATAGCCAAGGTAGGTGAAGTTAGTGGATACTCCTCAGGGACAGATGGTGGTTTGTGGATCAAGCTCGGAGGTCTCCGAGCTAGTGGGGGCTTCTCTGCTATGGGAGGTTTCGTCTTTCTCTCTGGCAAGGAGAAGACTTCTTCTGCTCCAGGTTCCTCACCATAGTCAGGGCTCTCAATGTCATCTTCTGGCTCAGACTTGCTGACTGACCTCAGGCGAACCGAACGTAGGTCAGACTGAGTAACCATGGGCATGATTGGCTGGTTGGGACTGGTTTTCTGGACTAATTTGGCTCCAAAATTTGTATCTGAGTGATGCCGACTTATCTTGGTTTTGCTTCTGATGGAGATACTCATCCCTGACAAGTCTAGATTGGTCGAAGAGGTCAATGGTAGATCAAATGAGAGCCGTGACTTGGAAATTTTCTCCATTGGTGATGTCGGGGGCAGTGATGACTTCCTCTCAGGAACCACTGGACGTACCCGGACACTGCTGCTTGGAGCGGGTAAGTGGCCAAGGGTCAAAGACATAGAGACAGTGGGTGTTGGTGTCTCTGACTGGCTGGAGTATCCACTGGAGGGTGACATCAGTCCAGTGGGCCTTCCTGGGGAGGATACCTCCCTGGCCTCCACCTCAATGGACAGTTGGGAGGGCGTAGTGGCTCTAGAGGTGGAAGGGGAGGCAAGAGATTCTGAGCTGCCTTGAACTTGGGTGCACTCAATGACTGTGGTGCCGGTGGCAGTGCTGGAGCTGGACAAAGACTGGTAGGTATCACCAGACTTCCAGTCAGTAAGATACCAGTGGTGGGAGAACTGTGTACCTTCTGGATCTTTGAGAGTCGGCATAGCTGAGTGACCCTGAGCGTCTGGGTGGGACAAGTGATGTCCTTGGTGTTCCAAGGAGAGGCAAAGGCTCCTGGGCCTCTGGTCCTTTGGCAGTGCTGACCCACTTTCTGGCAAGAGGACTGGCTCATCTTTGACCAGAGAGACGCTGCGTGTTGGCGGGCACGGCTTCTTCTTGGCCTTCTTGAGTGAGATACTCTTGGATCTCTGCCTTCGGTGCTGAGCCTCCTGTTCGGAGATACTCTTGGATCTCTGCCTTCGGTGCTGTGACTCCTGTTCAGCACTGAGGGAGGCAATGTTGTCAGCACTGTTACTGCCCTCTGAACTTGTGCTGGCATAAGGCAGGGCACAGGCTTCACTGGCCTTCTGTTCTTCATCATAGTCCACCTCTGTGGTTCCTGAGTCTGTGGGCACAGACAGCGACCGCTCCCGGAATCTGCTGGTCCCACCTGGACCTGTCTCCAGCTTTGAGGTACCACTGGACAGGAGGCCAATCTTGGAGGATCTTTCCAGTATTCGCCTTCGCTGAGTATGGTGCTCAGAGGAGCCAGCGGGCCCACTGCATCCTGGTGGGTTATCTCGAGCAACAAAGAGGGTAGCAGCCTCCTTCGGGATCAGAGGTGGGAGTGTGTTCAGAGAGACCCAAGAATTCCCAGAGGATGGGTTTTTTCCATTTTCATGGACTTGACTGCTCTGGCTGGTGGTGGCACTTGGAGTCATGTATGTAAAAGCATCTGCCTTCCAGGAAGTGGAGAATGTTGATTCTGTTGGTCCGTTGCAAGAACTGGGGACACTGTACACCATTCCCATGCTCTCCATACCAAGAGGGTTGGGGCTGCTATGTGTCTGGTGAGGTTCTTCTGGCTCACTAGGAGGATTTCTCAGTACTGGCGAGGTGAGATTCGAGAACCGAGCTTCCTGACCAACTGCAAGTCTTCCATGAACACCTTCTGGAACAGAGTGACTAGGCCTGATGTCTGAAGCGGCAGGGCGGGCCACACTGCCTGTGGGGCTGCTGCTGTGACCTGGAAGAAGCAAACACAGCATAAGTGGTACAGCAAGGGATGCCTCCATTGACTGTTTCAAGACAGGAGCACCAACTGTTTGTCAAGAAGTATCTGGTAAACAGCTTGGTCAGAATTCCTTGGTTCTTCCTTCCCACAGGTAAGGATGCTGGGGAAACTGGGCCCTTGTCCATCACTACACAGCGAGCCACAGGCTGCCCTCGAGTTGTCCAGGTGGCTGCCAAGGACTTTTCAGCTTTGATGATTCCTTTCAGAGCTGAAGTGTCACATAGCACATGGGACTGCCTTGGGGTTTCCTATAATTTCACCCCAGGCTCAAGAAGCCATCACAGACCTCAGCATTTGTCAGTCCTTAGATGGGAGCCGAGGCTTCCAAACTATGATGGCACTATATGACTTTAATCTGGAATACACCAGAGTTGTAAAACTAAGAGTCTGTGGATAAGCCCCGGTTTGGTGGTGCAGCAGTGGTGCAATGCTGGAAGCCTAATAGAAGACAGGGGTCTGGTTTTCTGGTCAACCTGTACATGACAGCCACATGCTTGTCATGGCCAGCTGGGAGGGCTGGGGAAGAATCATGGCATGAGACTTTGTTGAAGGTGCTTCTCTCTTATTCGTTCTCTCTCTCTCTCTCACATGAAATAAGTACATACATAAACAAACTAAAAGGAAAAAGAGAGACTTAGGATAACCTACGGATGTGAAGAAATGGTTCAGATGTTTCAAATCCTCAAATGTTTTCTTAGACACACAATGATACTGTTACATCATTATGATTACTACTACTACTACTATACTCATTTGTGATCATTTATAATCACGGCCATGATTTGTCAAATACTGACTATGTATTAGGCACCCAGTAGGCAAATTACATACAATAACCCTAAAACTCCTCACAATGACTCTGCCTGGTTGGGATCATTATCCCTGTATTCATTTATGGATGAAGAAGATGAGACTCAGAGAGGCTATGCAATTTGACCGAGGCTTCATGGTTAATGAGGAGAGAGGCTGGGACTCTCATCATCTGGTCTGGGCTCTTTGAATGGCACTCATTTAATGGTTCTGTTAAGATGGTGGTCTTACGTGCTAGGAGTGTGCATGTGCCCAAGATCCTGACAAACTGGAGGGCTAGAGGAAGGATCGTGGCATGACAAGCTCCTCTTGAGGGCACTTTTCTCTCTTGTGCATGTGCTATCATGAATAAAAAGAAATAGACTTCAAGAAAAGATGGCAGTGGGCCAGCAGATGGTGTGGAGGTTAAGGTGCTGGATCTCACATGGCTAGGTTTAGTGGTTCAAGTCCCAGACCTGGTGGCTTGGGAATCATGCCAGGTGTGTGTGCCTGCATGCCCAAAATCCTGAGAGGGAAGCGGAGAAGAAATGATTGTGGCATGGCCATCTCCCCCAGGGGGTGATTTGTCATCTTCCCTCTTTCTGTCTCTAGCTCTTTCTCTGGTGAGCGTACACGCCCTATAGCAAAGACAATAACAAAAAAGATGGCAGTTTAGCTACGATCCAAAGGTTATATCACATTAACATTGGGAAAAAAATGAATTTGAGGCTGGGAGACCTGCTCTCCATATTCATTTGCCACCCTTGCTAAGAAGCCCTTGACTATCCTTAATTACTGCATTGGCTTTTTTAGGATGTCCAAAGCCCTCCCCTCACCCATGGATTATTCCTGTTTCTCATCATCACAACAGCACCTGGGGATGGGATTGGCAAGGGGAAGGGCCTAGGGGTCAGCTGTAGTGGGGTCACCTTGGTCTCGCTGGGAAAAGTTAGAGAATCCAATAATCGTCCTTCTCCGCCTCAGGGTGGACTTGGGGTTCACGGCTGTCTCTGTGTTAAACAACGAGTGTCGCAAACTTGCATGTTTATCAAACTGCTGCCCTGTAGCCAAAATAAAGACACTTGGGTGCATCCTGGTTTCTGTTTAAAGGGCAGTGGGAATTGGCCTGAGGTAGAGAAAAGGGATGATGGCAGTAGCGATGAGCATGAATAGCGTCTGAGGTGGGTGGCGCTTCCTCCCCATCCCTCCCAGTTTGGCCCTGGACACACATGCTAGGTTTCCCAGGCTGCACCTGGGTCACCTGTGAGTCTTAGGTGGGCTGGACAGTGGTTTTCAGCTCTGCTTGCACATGGGAATAAACAGAACAGCTTTTGAAACTCTTGTACCTAGACACCCCCCACCCTAAGAACACTTAAGTCTCTGGAAGTAGGACCCAAGTACAAGCATTTTCTAGAAGTCCTCAGATATAAAGCCAGGGTGAGAACCGCCGGTACAGAGTGACAGGCTGAGACTAGACACTGTGAGCCTGTGAGTTTTTCTTAGAGAAAGCCTATATATATGGGCCAGGTAAGGCTAGGGTTTCCAAGAAGCTGCCCTACTGCCCCCGACCCCCACTATCCGGGGAAAAGCCTGACATTCTGTCCTACTGCCTCCTGTTCACATTTGACCAAATTCGGCCACTGCACGCTAACTGAGCTCTATTTCTCTTAAAGCACTTGGGCAGTCCTTTGCTCCTAGAAATTGCAGGGGGCAGAGGGAAGGTGAGGTAGGGCTGGGGATGAGGTGTGTGGCTCCCTTCTTGCTCCCTTATTCATCAGCTGGCTGATCAGACCCACTCCTCCCAGCCATGCACATACACACCCCAGGAAGTGGCTCTGTGGGTAAGATGAAGTCGGCCTCACTGAGAATAAGAGAGATGTTTAGAAACCGTGCCTGGCATCATGCTGGGAGTCTCTCTTTGCCAGCCCTCACTCCTCCTGCTACCTGCTCCGGACTGTGGGCTCTCTTTCCTGCCTCTGATTTCTCAAGATGGTACCAGTGGCAGTGAATGGTCCCATTATCCAGGAAGCATTGCCACATGTGGTCAGAGCTGTCCTCATGTCCTCCTCAACTTTTTCCAGCATAGCCCAGGCTTGTGGTGGCTCCCAGGATCCCTCTGACCCCTTTGGGTTACTGAGATCTTGATTTCATCAGACCATGGGCCATGTCTCTTTCTGAAAGGACTGGCCGTCCTTCTCTTCCCCTTATAGCCGATGGAGTGTGTTAACAATGGCATGGTCTAGAGAGCCACATGCCCCCAGAGGCACAGCCAGAGGAGTTACGTAAATCATTTCCCCCACTCTCAAGTTCCCACTGGATCCCCTTTGGGTTTTGTTTTGGTTTGGTTTTTGGCTTTAGTCTCTTTACTTGCCTTCTTCAAAAACTTGCCAAAGCTGTGGAGGCCCACCTCCCCCAGAAGACCCAGTGTTCAGCGAAAATGCCATAGGCCTTTGGTCTGTACCCAACTGTGACCCCTACCTTTTACCTCCAGCACTCTGAGGCCCACTGTCCCCCTCCGACTCCTACCTATAGACTCCAAACCCAGCTTCGGACACAAGAAATCACCTTTTCCCAAACCAAACAGAACTCACGAAGCAAACAGAACTATATATGTTCCAAAGAGCACATGAAATGGTAACGTTTTGGAGCTTTCTGTTAAGGAAATAGCATTTGCTATCAGATGGTCTCAGTTAGGGTGGCAGTGCCAGTAGGGAGTGAAGAAAGAGCAGCCAGAGCCCCCTCCTCTGCATGCCTCCTGGTGAGAGCCATGGCCTTGACAGTGCAGGGTGAGCCAGCAGCAAAGGAAGTTTTGTGCCCTCCCCCAGTGCCCAGTGCGTTCGGAGAGGATGGTCGCTAGTGGCATGGAGGGAAGCAAACAGAGGTGGTGCTAAGCAACTCTACCAGAGATGTTGATGGGCACAATGTCAGACTGTGTGGAGCAAGGCTGAGGCCACCGCTTCTCCTCTAGGATGGGCAGAGGGAAGGGGCTATTCCAGGTCATGTGCTTGTCGGCTGTGCTGGACAGGCTCAGGGAGGCCTCAGGGGCCCTCACGCCCTGGGTGGTGGTCTCATCCTCGCTCAGCTGCCGTTTTGTAGGCTGTTGGGAAAGAAGGCGATGGAAAGGATGTGCTACTGACTGGTGACGAGCCCACGCCCACAGGATAGCGGTGTAGGCAGGGTGGTTGGAGGCTTGGTCTGGGAGGCAGAAAGCACGGACTGGCTGCCAGGCCAGGCACCTGCTGTGCAGAGCCCATCCCAGTCGGGGCCTCATGGTGGCTCTGCTGGTGAGCAGAGGTGAGCAGCAGCTTCCAGTGGGTAAGCACTCGAGGTCCCCTGTCAGTGGGTGCACGCTGGCTCTCCCAGGCCAGGGCAGAGGCAACTCACCATCAACACAAACTCCAGACGCCTGGCAGACTGGGGCCTTGGGCTGGGGGTGGGTTCAAGGGCCTCATCAGAAGAGCGGAAGGTCTGCCCCAGAAGTCTGGCCTCCGAGTACTGTTCCTCATATTCTTCTGCAAAACAGCACAGTGGAGACAACTCTAGGGGCCAGGGCCAAGTGCTAGGCTGGGGGAGGACAACGAGCCAGGGCTCCTGCTCTAGCTGCCAGGCCTGACTTCCATCGTTTCTTTAGGCTATTTCCCAAGTCTGAGCCACTGGATTCAGAAATGGAAAAATGTCTGCTCCCTAGGACCACGAGGGCTGAGGACAAGAGGAAGCCAATACATTCGAGCTGTGCCAGTCTGAGGACCAAGCCTCAATGGCTCCCACTGGAAGTGCTCAACTTAGGGAAGCTACTTTATTCCGTGAGGGCCTCTCTTTGAAGTCCCACAGCTCTTCAGGTTCTCTGCAATCCTACCAAGGAAATAGCCTATGTGAAGCGAGAAGAAATTTACACTGGGGATTCCAGTCTGAGTTCTCCCTTGGATGGCAAGAGCTCTCACTTGAGTCTTTGTGGGCCTGGTTCCCTGCATCTTGGTCCCGCGTGGATAGGGTCAGGTCTAGGGGACTAAAGTGAAGGAGATGGAAGGAGGAGATGGCGGCATAGAAGACAGAAAAGTTCAGGGGAACGATGCGTAAAATTTGAAAGATTTTACCAAAGTGACGAATTAGATGAATACGCGAAGAAAATGAGAGTAAGAATGAACTTTCACGGCTCCACGTATATTTGAACAAAGACTCAGAATCACAGACGCTCAGGGTTGCTCTTTGGCTTCTCTGGTTCAACACCCCATTCTGAGCTCAGACTCCCTCCTCAGCAGCTCCTCCAGGGGCTTCTTCAGCCTCAGGGCACATACCTGCAGGGACAGGGAGCTCCCTCTCTCGCAAGGCAGCTCATCCTTTCCATGGACAGTTGGGATTGTCAGGCGTTTCAAAAAAGTCCTTCATTCTCTGGAGGTGAATCTGTCTCCCTCCGGGTTTCCACCCACTAGTCCTAATCCTGCCTGTGATAACAGTACTGAGCATAACTTTTTTTTTTCTGCATGCTAGCTCCTCTGATATCTGAACACAAGATTTGTGGTGTCCTTGGCATTTTGCTCCTGTAAGGTCACCACTGTCCTGGCAAGGAAGTGGGAATTAAGGCTGTAGTTCAGTCAAGTGGCCACCTGCAGTTTTCTGTTCTCCGTTAGAGTTAACTTTGGTTGGAATAGATCAACGAGAATGAGAATCGACAAGACCTCTTTTCACATTTAACCTCCACTGGGGGATCCAGTCCAGTGCTGGGTGCTTCCGGAAACCCAAGAGGAGTCAATGATGTGGTTCTTTACATTGAGAAATTCGGGCTAGTTAGGAGGACCAACCAGGTGAACTGTGAATGCTGCGTGCTGGGCTAACTTTGGGGAGGCAGTAGCCACCCAAGAGGCATGCAGACAAGGTTAATACCGAAACAGAGTGAGCGAAGCTCAGAGTGGGAGACCCTGCAGATGCCTCCTGTGTCATCTGGGGCCAGGATTCCAAATGCATGGCTATGTGGCAAGAGGAGGGCTGGAGGGAAATGCAGCTCACATTGTGGGGGTCTCCCTCCCAGCTCTTTGCGAATAGCTTGATCTATTGCCCTGGCTCAGCCTCTGTTTCCTTTTCCCTATGGACGACTGAACTGAAAAACGAGGAAAGCAGCCCTGCAAATAGAGACGTCTAGGATCGTTAGGCTGGAAGGTGAAAGATGTACAATGTTTGCTTTGTTTCGCGAAAGGCTGTCAGCTGGTCCCTGTCCTCCTTCTCCTTTGCCCGACTGCCCTGCCGCTGCGCATCTCGCCTCTGGGCTCCGGCCGCAGCCCCCCTCCCTCGCAGTACCTTGCAACAGGCTCTGGAGATTGAGCTGCGC